TCACCATCACCATCATCATCATCATCACCATCATCATCATCATCAGCAGCATCAGCATCAGCATCAGCATCAGCATCAGCATCATCGTCATCAGCATCATCATCGTCATCAGCATCATCATCATCATCACCACCATCATCATCATCATCATCATCACGATCACCAGCATCACCATCATCACCATCATCACCACCATCACCATCATCACCATCATCACCATCACCATCACCATCATCATCAGCAGCATCAGCATCAGCATCAGCATCAGCATCATCGCCATCATCAGCATCATGATCATCATCATCATCATCGTCATCATCATCATCATAATTATCATCATCATCAGCAGCATCAGCATCAGCATCAACATCACCATCACCATCATCACCATCATCACCATCATCACCATCATCACCATCATCACCATCACCATCACCATCACCATCACCATCACCATCACCATCACCATCACCATCATCATCATCACCATCATCAGCAGCATCAGCATCAGCATCATCATCATGGGCCCGAGAACGGCGACAAACCTCAGGACCCGTGTCCCGCAGGCCCCGCTTCCACCCTGGAGCGGAGGTGGGCGCGGACGGAGGGCAGAAGCCGGCAGGGGGCTCCGAGATGAGAAGCCCCCCCTCCCTTCAGCTCCCTCGCCGTCTCAGAAGGCTGAGGATGAGGAGAAGGAGGAGGAGCAGGAGCAGGAGCAGGAGGAGGAGGAGGAGGAGGAGGAGGAGGAGGAGGAGGAGGAGGAGGAGGATGTGGAGGAGGAGGAGTCTCTCGCACTGCCCCCCTCCCCCGGGGGATCGCCAAAGGTGCCCCTGGCCAAGGGGGGCCCCAGCGTTTCGCTCCATTTGGGAGCCCCTGGGGCCGTCTGCGCCTCATCAGGGGTGCTCTGGAGGGCGTGGGCCAGTCAGTCAGTCAGGCTTTACAGAATCCTGTGATGCCCCCAGGATTTCCAAGGAGGCCCCCACGGCCTCCAGAGCACTCCTCTCGAGGCCCAGAGGGCCCCAGGGGCTCCAAGATTTTGCGGAAAGCTGGGGGCACCTTCGGCTCGGGGCACTTCTAGCAACATCCAGCCTCTTTGCTCGCGCTGCGCAGGGTGCCCGTCGTGGTTCCTGTCCATCTCCCGAAAGATCTCGTGGAGGAGGGCCTCGTCGCGGCGCACGGAGCTGGGCAGGGTGGCCGACAAGAACTCCGTGTACGAGATGTACCCGTCGTCATTGAGGTCCACCTCTGGGGGGAACAACAGCGGCATCAACATAAACTGTCGGAGATCCAGGCGGATCTCCCGGATAGGCGCTGACACCCGTCTCTGGCGCGCGGAGCGTGCCAGGGGCGGCGCCGGAGGCATCGCCAGGCAGGCTTTATGCCGATCCAAGAAATCCGCGCAGAACTCCGAAAGTTTACGCGACTTGTGTCCTTCGAACCTCGCGGAACGCCCCCTCGAGTCCGTCGGGTACAGACCCCGCGGTCCGCAGATAGTAGCTCTCCAGCGCCTCGATGGTCGGAAGGGTGGTAGTGGGGGGTGACCTACATGGGGGGGGGGAGAAAAGGGCCCTGACGGAGCCCTTGGAGGCCCCTCTGGGACCCTTTTCTTCGCCTCCCATTGATCGGCGACGAGCCTGGGGGGGAGTGAGAAGGGGCGGGCCTACTCAGAAGGCTCGGAAGTCCCATGGCCTTCTGAAAAGCTTCCTGAGCCTCCCCCGAAGACGCAGACAACTTCTCAGAAGGCGCGATGGCTTCTGAGAGGTCCTGCTGCCTTCTGAGAAGGCCCTCTCCTTCTCACTTCCTCCGCTGGGCGCGCCGCCGAATATCAGCCAAAATCGGTCCCCGGACTTCTTTCAGGGTTCATCCGACGCGGTTTTTCACCCTGGATCGAGTTTCGAAGGCGCCGGGGCCCGAAAACGGCCCCCAGGGGCCGACAGCGATGAAAACCGCCTCGAACCTCGAACCTCGAAGTTCCCCGGGTCCATCCGACGCGGTTTCTCACGCGCGATCGAAATTCGAGGACACCGGGGCCCGAAAGCAGCCTCCAGGGGCCGACCTGCGGTGTAACATAGCCTCGAACCTCGAAGCTCGAACCTCGACTCTTCCCCCTCGCTCGCCGCCGAGTAAGACCGCGCTCGCCACCGAATGCAGGTGGAGGGGTGGGAGGAGAAGCAGGAGGAAGGAAGCGGAGAAAGAGGATGAGGAGGAAGACCAGTGTAAACACAAGAGTCATCAACGATGCTATAAACCCTCCCTCCAAGCTCCCTCTTCATAGTTCTCTACAAGGGGTCATTTCCACTGAGGGAATTGCCTCGTTGGAAGACACTGTTTGAAGACCCTGAAGCATGCCAAAACACTATTCTCGGGACTCCAACGCCACGGATCAATCTGACTGTTGCGTCTTGACGATCCTGAATCTTGCCGGAAAACCATTGTTGGGACTTCGACACCGCGAACCAACATAACTGATGCACCCTCATAACCCTGAATGTCTCCAGAACAATATTTCTGGTACGTTGACCATGGGAATCCATGACACCCTCGCAATGTGTTAAATGAATGTGCGCGGCGCTAAGGCAAGATCTATATCTTGAAAACCACCCGCCCTCAATGCGTGAAACTCTTGCAAATGGTTAAAACGAGTGTGCGCGGCGCTAAGACGAGAGCCGTATTTTGAAAACGGCCCGCCCTCAACCCGTGAAACTCTTGCAAGTGTTTAAAGCGAATGCACGCGGCGCTAATGCGAGAACCACAATTTGAAAACGACCCGCCCTCAATCCTTGAAGCTCTTGCAAATGTTTCAAGAACGAATGTGCGCGGCGGTAAGGCGAGAGCCACATTTGAAAACGGCCCGCCCTCCATCAGTGAAGCTGTTGTCAATTTTGAAGCTTCAGGGTCATTAGTGGTGAGGAGGTCTCAAGCGAAATGCCCAGCCCGCCCTTTCGACCGGTCTCGGGGTGTACACGGAGAAAGGATTGGTGGATGAGGAGGAGCAGGAGGAGGAGGGGCGGAGTTATTCATCGCCAAGAGAAGAAGGCGGGGGCCCTCAAAACTAAAGACCTCCTGAAGTTAGGTCACCCCTCATTGCCACACGCCCGAGATGGACAGCTCGCCGTCGGAGCCGGCGTCCGCGAGGGCGAAGGCGAGCCTCTGGGGGCGCGTCTGCGGGAAGCAGTAGGCGCTGAAGTGCGCCACCGCGAGCACCGAGGAGCAGAACACTGGGCAAAGAATCGTTGGACATGGAGCCCATTGGTGAGGGCATTGGATACTGAACCATTGGATGAGGATCGGGGACGCACTGACCCGGGTCAATCCAAGCCCGGGTCAGTCAGGCCGTGAAGGATCTTGCGGTGCCCCCAGGATTACCAAGGCGGCCCCCACGGCCTCCAGAGCACTCCTCTCGAGGCCCATAGGGCCCCAGGGGCTCCAAGATTCAGCGGAAAGCTGGGGGCACCTTGGGCCAGGGGCGCTTCTAGCAACATCCGATCATTGGTGAGGGTGTTGGATAAGGAACCGCTGGATACCGAACCCAGGGTCTGGAATCCAGCAAGGCGCCACTTGAGGCTTGGCCCTTGGCCATGGATATCACCACCGCCCTCATCAGATCAGAACTCCTCCAGGGTCTGGAGCCTCCTGGGCACATTCCTCAATCAACGCCCCCACCGTACCATAAACATGAGCCTTCGGAGGTCCACGCGGGTTTCTTGGATCAGCACTGGACCCCCCTTCCCTGGCGCGCTGAGCGCGCCTGGGGCGGCGCTGGAGGCGCCGCCAGCAAGGCCTTGCGCCGATCGAAGAAACCCGCGCGGACCTTCAAAGTCTACGGTCGGGAGCTCCTGGACAGCGTGTCGCCGCGGCGGCCCCGGCGACACGCGATGCCCTGCGAGCGGACAGCGTGGCGCTCCGCTCCGCGGGGCGGGAGGCTGGGAAAGGCTCGGGACGTCGAGGCTTGGGGACTGGAAGTGGATAGGACTGGAAATGGATATTTGGACGCACGAAGTGGGTACGAAAAGAATGGGTACGATGCCCAACAGCATATGCTGTCCCAAACCGACAGCGGCCGTTGTTGGGCAGGCGACCTTCTGTAGCGTCCGCGGCGACACCGACAGCGAGTCCTGCTCGAAGTGAACAAGAAATCTTGTCGGTCGGTCGTTGTACACTTCTCTCCATACCCAGTTCGATCGTGCGTGTCGCGCCGAAGCTAGGGGGCCACAGGCGAACCCTACCCCTACCCCCCACGATTTCTGAGGGGGAGGGTGGGAAGTGAACCCCACCCTCCCCCTCAGAAATCGTGGGGGGTAGGGGTAGGGTTCGCCTGTGGCCCCCTGGAAGCGCAGTGGGCCAGAACCAGCGGAACGCCACGCCACGCCAAAAAACTCCTCGACCGCATGCTCGTGCCTCCGGCTCTGCTCCCCGAGAGCAACACCCCGCGGACCAGCACGGGCTCGGCCGTGAACTCCCGGCAGGCCCTCGGGAAGTCCTCCAGGCACTCCTGGGCAGCCACAGGGTGGGGAGGCAGCAGGGCTCGGCTGTGGACAAACCTCCCTTTAGTAGACCCCACCTTAGTGAAGACGAACTGGGACCGAAACCGACGGACCTGGACCCGCAAAAATAACGGCCGCGACGCCCTCTCGCGAACCGAAAACGGCCAATTCCTCAATCGACGTGTCAGGGTAGGAGGTCTGTCCAACCCCGAAAGGCACCGCTGCCGCTGCTTCCCAGGCCTGTCTCGGGGTGCACTCTGACCAGAGTCTCGAGGCGGATCCAGCGGTGGCGACGAGGGCCTCCGAGGAGGCCCCCAAAGGGGAAAACGACGCAGGGGTAGCGGTATCGGAGCCTCTTCCTCTTTCGAAAAGGAAGCACCAGGGGCCCCTTCGTGGAGGAAGGAAAGCGGCCTAACCCTAAACTTCCGGAGCTTTGCGCGGATTTCCTGGATCGGCGCTTCAAAAGGTACGAGGGGCCCATATCGGAGACGGAGAAACAAGAATAACCAGAACTTTCGGAGCTCTGCGCGGACTTCTTGGAGCTACGCTGGACCCGTCTCACAGGCGCGCTGAGCGCGCCAAGGGCGGCGAAGGAGGCGCCGTCGGGGGTCCCAGCGCCGATCCAGGAAATCTGCGCGGACCTGCGACAATTCATGCTAATGCCACTCTCCGTCCGCCGACAAAAAGTGCTCGGGGCCCCGGCCTCGCAGCGGGGACTCCGATACAGCAGGGAGCACTGGAAACCTTCCACAAGAAACCCAACCCTGCAACCCTGGGATATCCATTGACCTTTTTGTGGTAACGTGGCGCTTTCCATCGCAAAACCATCGAAGCCCAAGCTGCCCAGGGCACCCTGGAGGCAAGCAGGGTGTTTCTTGGCATGGGCTTCCACTGCAGGGGGGCCCTGTGGAAACCAGTGCCGCTGCTCCCCAGACCTCTCCCGGGGCGCGCCCCGACCAGCATCCCGCTGCGGCTCCAGCCGTGGCGACGAGGGCCTCCCGGGAGGCCCCGGGAGAGGCGAAGAAGAGCGAGGCAGAGGCAGCGGCATCCGGCACCCCTCAACCCACACCTCGGCGAGCTCCTCCGCGCGCCGCACCACCTCTGGCGGGTAGAGCCCCAGCGGGTCCGTGGAGGCCAGGAACGGGTGCCCCAGCGCCTCCCTCGCGGTGGGCCGGCGGTGGCGGTCGTGGCGCAGCAGCAGCGACAGGAAGTCCTGGGCCTCGGGCGACAGCTCCCGGCACTCCCTCGCCTCGCGGAGCCGCTGCCGCACCCAGGCGCGGTCGCGCACGCGGCGCCGCGCCTCGCTGTCTCCCAGGGCGCCGGGGTCGCCGAGGAAGTTGGTCCCCGTCAGCATCTCGAAGAGCACCACCCCGCAGCTCCAGATGTCGGCCTCGGGCCCGCACGTGCCGTCCCACACCTCCGGGGCCATGTACGGCACCGAGCCGCGCACCTCGCTGGAGTCCCGCTTGAAGCTGCTGGAGAGCCCCAGGTCGATCAGCTTCAGGTGCACCTTTCAAGGGGAACTGGAACACACAAATAAACACACACAAATAAAAATATCCCCCATATTTTCCCATATTTTCTGTGTTTTTGTCTTCCCCACCACTTCCTATATTTTTGCATATTTTCCTGGGAGTCGACGATTAATTGTGTCTGTGTGTTTCTCTCCCTTCTGAACCTTGTCAGGCCTCGTGTACATGAAGTTCTCGGGCCTTCCGGGTCGGCTGATTCCCCCGGCGCCTCCCAGCGCAAGACGCCGAGGCGCCACTAGGCATTGCCGAAGACGCCCGGCGGCGGGGCCGGAACCGGCTGCGTGCAGCAGATCGCAAGGACGAAGCCAGGACAAAGCTACACTCGGGTGAGGATAAATCGAGAAACTCTGAGATCTGGCGGCTCTGGAGGATGTATCGGGCGCCGCGGCCCTCTCAGAACGGTCCTGAACGCTCTGAGAGCGTTCTGGAACGCTCTGGAACGGATTTATCCTTGTTCTAGCCCCGTCCGACCCCCCCCCCCCTTTCCCTTCCCCCACTCTTTCGTCCAACCCGCGCTTTATGTCGAAGTGGCCGATGTAGTGGGCGTGGCAACACTTCAGAGCTCTCATCATCTGGCACCTTCGCCGCCCCGATGCGCAACACGCAACCCGTAGCGTGTGGACACGGAGCTCAACACGGATGTTGAAAACATACGTCTGGCGCGTCACGTTCGCCGAAACGGGGGCCAACACGTTGAGCCAACATGTGGCGTCTGTTAACCCAGACGTTTTGAGCATCTAGGGCTCCCAACTTCGCGCTTCGCGCTGCGCGAAGCGCGAAGCGCGAATAACTTCGCGCTCTCGCGCCGCCCTCCCAAAGGGAGAATAGGAGGACGAGGAGGAGGGGGAGAAGGAACGAGGACCGCGAAGCGCGAATAACTTCGCGCCCTCGAGGGAGCCCTTGGAGCATGGTACGTGTTGCGTTTCAAAACGGGCGCATCAGCGCAGCTAAGTCTGGCACATGGCCACCGCGGCGTCCGCCTCGCTCAGGCCGCCGGACGCCCACGCGTCGTTGATGCGCTCGAAGAGGCTCGGCCCCTCGCACAGCTCGAAGAACAAGTAAAGCTCGGAGCCCTCGTCGAGGTAGCGGAGCAGCTGGACTTGGAGGCGGCCAGGGGGTCTGAACTGGATGGACTCCGAGAAAATCTGCCAAGAAGGGGGGATAAGGGCGAGTCCGCTCAAAGCCGGTCCCTGGATCTCTCCCGAGGTCCATCTGGCGCAAATTTTCGCACCGGATCTATCTTTGACGGTTCTGGTGTCCGAAAACGGCCCTCGGAAGCAAAGAAAGACGAAAAACGCTCTCGAGCCCAGAACCTCGAACCTCACCCCCCCCCCTTCCCGATCGCCGGAACCAGTGCAAGGCCACCTCAGACCCCCCGCCGGCTCCAGAGCTTGACTACGTGGGGGTGGTCCAGGTCCATCAGCGAGTGGATCTCGTTCAGCAGCAGCGCCGTCTGCTCCCTGTCCTGCGGCTTCCGCCGGATGCGCTTCGCGGCGCGGAGGTACCCCAGCGCCCTGTGCCGCGCCAGCAGCACCGTGCCGAAGGCCCCCGAGCCGAGCTCCCGCTCGACGGCCCAAGTGTCCTCGAACCTGCCGCCAGCCCTCACGGAGTAGACCACCGGAGAGCCAACACGAAATCGATGCCACGTCGGTCGGACGACCCCATCAGCGTGCTGCTCGCCATCGCTCGGACGTCCATGCCCCGTGCATGTTTCGGGTTCGCGCGTGCAGTTCTCGAAGAGGTGATCCAAGATGCTCCTTGATGGTCTTCGCCGGAGAAAAGATGCACACGTCCGAACGATGCCAAGGTGACCGCAAGCGAGAAGCACGAGGCCTCTGCCCCCAACAGCGGCGGGCGAACTCAGGAGGGGGAAAAAACACACACAGACACAATTCATCGCCGATTCCTCAGAAAACATGGGAAACTATGGGAAGTGGGGGGGAAGACAAAACCCACCAAAACATGGGAAAATGTGGGGAACCATTTTGTGTGTGTATTTATCTGTGTGTCCTTGGCTCCCTTCACGCACGGCACGCAGAAGTGCGGAGGGACGACGCGCGTGCCGCTCCTACGCTTTGCCCCTCCCGAGATGAAGCTCGTGTCCCGGATCAGCGAGCTGCTGCACCCCGCGTCCGCGCCGCGCCCGCGCCGGGGGCCCTCCCGCGCCTTGGCATGAAGGGGGCGGGCCCAGCCCTCCTCCTCCTCCTCCTCCTCCTCCTCCTCCTCCTCCTCCTCCTCCTCCACCTACACAAGATCCTCCTCCTTCTCCTCCTCCTGGGCCCTGGGGCCTTCCCCCGCGACCAGCTCCTCGTCCCGCTGGGCACCCCCGGAACGCCCTGGGTGAGGAACGCACCCCGAGGCTGGAGAAACCGCTGAGGACTCACGGAAACGACAAAAACATCGGTTAAATCTTTAACTAATATATTCGCGACAACGCCCATGACCGGCCGCGCCCCCTCCCCCTCCCCTTCCCCTGGTCACGTCACGATTCGCGCCGGCACCGTCTGGGAACTGGCCATTCCCAAGCACTCCCAAACGGCGCCAGCGCGACTCGCGACGTGACTGGCCCCCTCCCCCCCCCCGCTGGTCACGCCCGCTCTCGACGGGAAAGAAAGGTGCCTCCTCGAGCCCCATTCACATGATATCATGATGTCCTCCGTTTTCCAACGCTCAGTTCCTGGAAGTCCTGACGCTTTCCCCAGGACAGGCTCTTCACCCCGAGCTGGTCTTTGACGGTCCTGGGGCCCGGCGAGGGCCCCCCAAAGGCCGGAAATAAGCAAAGAGCGCCCGTCGTGACTTTGGTCACGACGCGAGGGGGTCTGGGTGGTCCATTACTTCGCCCGTTCGTTCTCTCATCCTCGGGCCCTCCTCTTCCTCGAGGGGGACCAGCAGTAACTCGAGCATAAACGCTCGGAGGTCCGCGCGGATTTCTCGGATCGGCGCTGGACCCCCCATCCCTGGCGCGCCTCCGGCGCCAGGGGCAGCGGCAGGGGCGGGGCCGGAGGCGCCGCCAGGGGGCGGCCTCAGCGCCGATCTGGTAAATCTGCGCCACATAGCGTCATACAGTATCACATGGCGCCATGTATTATCACATCGCGCCCCCGCGCCGCGCTAATTCCGCCACCAATGGCACGAAACGCCAAGACCTGACGGGTTCTATGACTATGAGAAGGCCTGAGGATTAAGCACAGAACCTCGGGGCCTCCGCGCGCCAGCCAGTGCTGGGGGGACCCCCGTGGCCCCGCACTAACGGTCACTCCGGCGAAAGGTCACTCTTACGCGCAGCCGACCCTCCTCCTCCTCGGGGTCCGCTTGGGCCGTCCTGGGGCGAGATTGGGGAGCTATATGGGGCCGTCTTGCAGCACTGGGAGCCCGAGAAGGCGAGAACTGTAGAGTGATTGATAAACCTACGAGAATCCCAGACCCCCGACGCCATGATTTTTCATGACATCGATCCCCAAAGGTCTCGACCGATTCCCCGGGACCAGTTTCTCATCCCGAGTCGTTTTTGTTGACTGTCTCGCGTCCCAATAAGGGCCCACGGGGGCCGAACATGACAAAAACCCTCCCGTCGTGACTTTTTCATGACTCGAGGGGTCTGGGTTGATGAACCTTCGAGAATCACTGATCTAGGCATCCTGCAGGTCCTCTCGGAGCCCTCTCTTGGCGGCGAGCGAAGGGAGAAGTGAAAAGGGGCGGACCTTCTCAGAAGGCTCGGAAGTCCCCCGGCCTTCTGAGAGGTTTTCCTAGCCTTCCCCGAAGACACAGAAAACTTATCAGAAGGCGCAAGGGCTTCTGAGAAGCCCCGCCGCCTTCTGAGAAGGCAACCTCCTTCTCAGTTCCCCCCCCTCGCTCACCGCCGAGTATCGGGGCGTCTGGAATGGGACCGGGATCGCCTGGGCCCCTCAGGGGCTCGAGCGGGTGAGGCCGTGGCCTCGCAGCCAGGGCCCGTGGGCTGGGAGCTTACAGTCGGACCAAGGCTTAAGTCAGGCATGCCCCTCTACAAAAGGAGCATTCACTAATACTGGCACATGCTCTGGTGACGATGTTTCGTGTTGTTGTTGTTCCATCATATGTTGCATTATTGCTTGACTATACTGTACTACTTCTCAAAATTTACAAATCCGCCTGTAGGAGAGCATGCCCGAACTTGACCTAGGCCAGAATCACATCCTTCAAGAAAATGAGACCCTCCACCAGCCAAAACACCCCAAAACATCAGATCACTCGAGGGTACCTACCCCAGGATGCACAAGATGAGGAAAAAATATCGTGTCGGGAGGAGGGTGAGAGGAAGGGGGTGGGAGGATGAAGGGCATGCGCACTTGCATGCATCCTGATACAATGAACGACACCTCCGGCCGCCTACCGGCAAGGATATCCTCATTTCTCCCAACCCCATTCTCCCAACCCGATAATCGTCTTCCTGACAAGCACATCAAAAAGAAAACGCCGAGAACACCAGGGTACCCTCCCCGAACCGACCTCGATCTCATCATTACCTCGGCCCGACTGTCCTCAGAGAGCCGGCCCTGGGGGCGCCTCGGGCGCTCCTCGGGGCCCGCTTGCTCGCAGGGCTGGGGACCCACTCTCGGGGCGTCGCGGGGGCTCCTTACCCAGACATCTGGCCGCTCCGGGGGGAGGATGGAGAAGGAGGAGGAGGAGGAGGAGGAGGAGGAGGAGGAGGAGGAGGAGGAGGAGAGGGGGGAGGAGGAGGGGGAGGATGGAGGAGGAGGAGGAGGGAGGAGGAGGAGGAGGAGGAGGAGGAGGAGGAGGAGGAGGAGGAGGAGGAGGAGGAGGAGGAGGAGGATGGAGGAGGAGGATGGAGGAGGAGGAGGAGGAGGAGGAGAGGAGGAGGAGGAGGAGGAGGAGGAGGAGGAGGAGGAGGAGGAGGAGGAGGCCAGGACCACGTTCCCAGGACCCGCGTTTCGTCCCGAGCCGTTTTTTCGTCGACGCTCCCGAGAGGCCCGGCAGGGGGCCCCCGAAGGCCGAGAAAACTGCCCAGATCCCGCCGCCCCGTCGGCTCCTGTGGGAGCTCTCATTCTCGGGGCGTCGCAGGGGCTCCTCGTGATGGGCCACTGTCCCACCACCGCTACCACAAGGAGGACGAGGGGTAAGGAAGGATGGGAGGTCCTCCTCCTCCTCCTCCTCCTCCTCCTCCTCCTCCTCCTCCTCGTCCTCCTCCTCGTCCTCCTCGTCCTCCTCCACCTCCTCCTCCCCTCTCAATGTGAAGCTGGTCGGGAGGCCCAACCAGATGCTTCGCCGAAGGCAAAGGAAGCATGCGTCCAACCCTGTTGTACAGTACCAAAGATAATCCCAGAAGTAGGAGTGAGCCGCGGGAGCGGCGATACATCTCAAGCGAAAAGGATGATGCCTCTTCAGTCTCGACGTATAGGATTGCGCCTCATAAGTGCACAATCAAGTAGGTGGCCGGTCACTGGGCCGACATGGCCGCGGACAAACGCTAGATACATTTCGCCTTTTCCCCATCCTCCTTTAGAGTCGGGGGGGAAAGGACGAAACGTGACTGCGCGACCGGCCTTACTCAGCAAAACAGCTATCGTACACAAGGTAAGCAGCAGCGCGCGGGCTCAACCTAGACAGGTTGACCCGCAGGCAAGTTACCTCGCAGGCAAGTTACCCCGCAGCTCACTACTCCTCAGGCGGCTCAGCTGATCTCGTCTGGCCAGCCCTGTAGGAAGTGCGTCGTTTGAGGTCGTGCCTGAAGGATTGCACTCCTCACATGACTTGTAGGAACTTGTCTCTGTCGATGCTCCCCTTGGCGTGACCATCCGCAGTCATATCGCGAGTCCCACACCACTGCGCACAGTGCGCAATACCTCTTTCCATCACTTGCCGTATCCAACGAATGTGATTCAGAAGTGTACACGCAGTCGGCTTCTTCTGGTCTTTGCTTGACAAGGAATTGAAGACGGACTCTGCATCAATGGTCATAGTGGCTTTAATGCTCAGGCCGCCCATCTCAAATATATTCTTCAATTGGGTGTGTGTCAGCAGCCCTGCGTGGAGTTCGTGCAGAGTGGCAATCGTGGGATAGCAGATCTCCAAGTTGTGGACTGCTGTCAGTGCTTCCGCTTCGTAACTCGAGTGGACTTGCAAGCGATGAGACTTGCAGTACGCGTCGACAAGATGGGCGACGGGCTTACCAGCATGCGTGTGTCCACGCCTTAGCAAGTTTGCCCCGCGAGAACCACAGCCTTTGACTTCGTCGTCGGCATCGCCGTTCAGGCGACGGTAGCTGGAGTCGCTATGCAGATCGACCTCGCCCGTTGGTGTCATCGTTGGTAAACGACATTCCTAAAGGCAGGCCTGCAGCTTCCTGTTGATCGCGTATAGTCGTCGCACTTGCAGATGGGTCGTTTCTTGGACACGCTGTAGTGATACAACATATACCATTAACCGCACTTGCGCGATGAGGGCGTAGGCCAGGGAGACCCTGAGGCTGACAAACATATCAGTGACCATCTTCGATGCCTTGGCCTCGGCATCTGCGCCCGTGAGTTCATGGTGCTGAGTAGGGCGGAGCTGTTTTATGTATTCGTATTGGTCAAGGGTAACATTGCCGTCGCTGCGCTTTTGAATATATCACTGCGCAGTTGGTGTGTGTGTGTTTGTTGAGCTTACAATTCCCAAAAACATCCGCAACTCACTTGACGTACTTGTCGATGGTGTCCTAGGTGCCGTCCATATCTCTGT